CAACGATCCATGGGCGTAGAGACTGCCACTGAATTATGGATTAGGAATCCTTCCCTGCAGAGTTGGAGTGTGGTGCCAAGGAAATGGGTGCAGCCCACGCTGCCTCGGCCATCTCTGCTGCCTTTCCTTGTTCCCTGGGTCCCACCCCGGCATTCCTGGCTCGCAGCAGGGCCAGGAGGCTCCCTTGGAAGTGAAATGCAGGGCTGTGATTTCAGCTCGTGCTGTTGTGCAGTGAAAGCAAAGAGCTGAGCTTGAGGCACCCCAAATCACCTGGGCTGGTGGATGAAGTTCTGGCCTTTTGCCTTGTCCCAGCTCTGGAGCTGAGCCCTCCTGCTCCCATCCCCAGTGTGGTTGGGAACCCCAATTCCTGAAATTTTTTGATTGCTGACTTACGTAACTGTCAGGTTGTGGGGGTTTGTGGTGTGTGATTTTTAAATGTCACCTTATGTGAAATAATTATGCTGCCTTAACTGAGGAGCAAACATTGCCCTGTGATAGAGCGAAAGCCCTGGATTGATGTTGGTTTTTCAGTGAAGTGTCTGCACACGATGGTGTCTGCCTTTTATTTGCACTTTGGCATGTTCCAGCAGTATCTGAAATGAATGCCAGAAGGAGAAGTCAGTGCATGGCTCCCCTTTTTTATTTTTAACTGATATTTACACACAAGGAGGATTTCACAGACCCCTCTGTCGCAGCCTTGTAGAAAATAATCTGCTCTGTAATGGTTGTCTGTGGAGAGCTGCAGACAAGCCATGAAGCCACACATCCATTTGGAGGGGCTGGCAAGCAGAAAAGGATCTGTACATGTGGGACATGAGCGTCTTCCTCCTTTGTAGTCCAAACCTTTTGGGGTAGAACAGAAAGGGAGGAGAGGAGAAGCAACTGACTCATGTTGAAAATGCTCTTCGGAGTTGATGGGAAAAGCAAGATTGTGTGTATGAGGCATTGGGAATGACTGATGAAGCACTTGGGCCTGACAATATATCCTGCTTTTCTCTTTTTAACAGATGATCTAGCTCCTGCTTTCTGACCTCTTTGGGTATTAGCATCCATCCATCTCACTGTTCCTACTCTGTTGCTGTTCTGAGTTTAGTCCTGGGTCAAAAAGTCCCAATAACACTGGCAAGAGTGGGAGACAGAAAGGCAGAATGCACTCTCACATTCCCAACGTACAGCTAAGGCTTGTTTTTCCAAGTGGTGGTGTTAAAGAGTGGGTATGCTTTAAAAACATGCACAGCACTGAAGCCCCAGTTTAATTGCTGGTTACAGATGCTGCTTTTGATCCAAGCTAAACTTCTGAGCCAAGCTGAAGTTCTTACAGACAAGAGTTCGTGAAATTCTAAAGAGGAGGAAATCAGCATTAAAATAGCATTTGTAGAGAATCTTAAGCAAAATGTGCACTTTTCAGTGAAGGCCTTTGCATCATAAATTAGCAACATCTGTCCTCCTATTCTATATGTCATTTCCTCTCCAAATCCCCTCCAGAATCTGCCATTTTTCAGAAGTATTCTTGGATACATTGAACTGAGGTTGAAGATGCTTCATAAAATATGCATAAGCACTTGTCACTTGGATAATGCTTCTTAGTACTTGCCATTTTGCTGTATTTTAACAAATTAACCCTCCAAACATGACTGGTGCCCATGGTGAACATGGGCCAGTATCAGAATGAGACTGTCTTGGACGCAGGAAATACTGTTGGAAATGGGTGTTCAGTTGTGAGAAGTCGCTGCTCTTTTTGTTCCATACACAGCAGTGTCTGGTAAGATCTGTGAAATTCAGAGTATGGCTTACAGATAAGCTCTGAGATAGCTGGATTTTCCAGGGATGACATAAAGGAGGATAGATAACCTTTTTTCTTCCCCACTGCTGAGATGCTGTTGCTGTCCCAAAGGGCAGGTGAACTCCCCTGGTTATTTTGGTTGAGTGTTGGTAGAGAAACAGGGCTGGGAGGGAACATAAAGGATCATCTTGTGCACACCCCTGTCCCAAGGAGAGCTCAGCTCTACCTGTGGAATCCCTTACAAACAGCCTGTCCTTGTGGCCTGCCCGTGATGAAGACCTTGTGGTACCCCCAGGCAATCTGTTCCAGTGTTTCACTGTTCTGCAGATAATATTGAAGAATAAAGTCTAATCTTGGAAAGCTTCTAAGTGTGAATGAAAACATGTAAAAATCAATACTGTGCTTTACAAGGAGAAAATAGGTGTGCGATGACACAGGAAAGAGATACCAGGCAGATTTAATGCCTGATCCAGGAGACCTTACTCAGGCAGAAATTTCATTTTATGCCTAAATTCTTTTACTTCTGCTTTATGGATGTAATGGCCACTTGCATCCTGTGCTTTGGGCAGCACTGAGGCCAGCTGTGGGATGGACTGACTGACCTTTGGGCTGCTTTTTGTGAAAGCACCAGGCTGAGTATTTGTGTGGGATGGAAGCTGGCATCATCCTGGGGCTGAGCAGGACGGGGGCTGCGCATCCTCAGTCTCTGCAGAGATGGTTTTTCTCCGTGCCCACTGAATCCCTGTGTTCCCCTGTACCCTCAGGTGTGCCCAGGCTTTGCTTGCACCTGCTCTGCAGGTGGAAGTGGCTTGGAGATGTCCTTCTGCTTCCCTGGCCATGCAGGACTAGGCAGATGTGACAGGAATTACATGGCAGGAGGGAGAAGCCAGCTCTGAGCTTCACTGAAAAAAAAAAGGCTTTGCTTTTTGGGAAACATGTTGCAACTACTGTAAATCACAGAAAAGAAGGCAGAAAACATGAAGTGTGTAATGTATGCGACACCAGCCACTGAAAGGTCAGCGGCTTCATGCAGGAGTAACGGGCATAAAAAATTAATGAGGCTCTCTAATTAGTTTGTTGTGGTGGAATTTTATTAACGAGACACAATCGATTTCTGGTTTATGCTAAAAAACATAATGAAGTGCAGTGAAAGCTGCTCTTCACAAATTCCTGGTTCCCATTGATAAAATGACAAGAGCTGGAGCCGGTGTGGGCTGCGCTGTGGGCGGCAGCACAGGCACAGGCACAGTCCCAGCGCTGGGAATCGCACGGGGCTGTGGCAGGTCAGGGATTCCACCTTCCCTGCCTCTTCCCAGGGCAGGGATTCCACCTTCCCTGCCTCTTCCCAGGGCAGGGATTCCACCTTCCCTGCCTCTTCCCAGGGCAGGCATTCCACCTTCCCTGCCTCTTCCCACTGCTGCTCCCCTCACAGCACCCCCAGTACTGAGCCCTGCTACTGGCAGGAGCCCGAATTCCTGGGACTCAATTCCCTGCTGCTGTGGGATGTCTTTCCGTTCAGAAGGTGAAGTTTGCCTTATTTGCATTGCAGGTTTTGCAATGCTTCTTCCTTAAGGAAAAACAGCTTGTTTGGGTCTTTGTTGCTAGCTGTATATGCTGGAAACATTTTGATTAAACACTGAGGAAAGAATAAGATAAGACTGTTGATTAGTTAGAATTGAACTTTTTCCTTTTACTCCTACACTTAGAAGAAAAAGCAGACATTTTTGTTTTTATCATGGTCTATGTAATTAACTGCATGAATAAACATACAGCATTTCTGAAAACTAATACTCCTGAAAACCCCTCAAACACGTTCTGTTTAAAACATAATCTCGGGTGAATCCTGCAGTTATTGATGTTCACACAGTGGGCCTCTAAGGCAGCAGTGTCACAGGGAAATCAAGGTGAGTCTAAGTGTAAATAAACTGGTCGAGACAAAACCTGCTTGCAGCCCATGTCAGGCACCCAGGTCAACTTCTGCACTGCTCCTGGTATGGAGAGACAAAGCCCCAAAAAATCAGCTATGAGCCAAGAAGAAGAGGAAGAAGGTTACCCCCCGAAAATTCAGCTATGAGCCAAGAAGAAGAGGAAGAAAGTTACCCCCCCAAAATTCAGCTATGAGCCAAGAAGAAGAGGAAGAAGGTTACTTCTTCGGGGCCATCCCTCATCCCCACACAGATACCTCTAGTTTCTCTGGACATCTGCTGGGGAGCTCCCTGCCATGTGGACCTTGCCTTCCTGTGTGGAAGTGCTTTAAATCTGATGGTAAATGTGAAGAACACACATGATCTCTTCATGTGCAACCTTGTACCCCAGTCAGATGTGGTTATACAAAAAGTGCTCTAATTTTCCTGAGAAATGATGTGCCAGGAGCACAGGAGAACCCTATCTGTATGAACCCTTTATACTGCACATTTTTCTTCTCCATAATTTCCTTGGAATTTGAGAATTCCTTTGGTTGCAGACTTTGGGAAGCCTTGCTGGCTGCCCAGCAGACATGTGCATTTTTCCTCACTGAGTTTCAGGATGTGCAGCATCCTCTCTTTTGAAAGCAGGTCGCTGACAAGCAAAGTGCCACACTGTGACAGGTGGTCACTGCTGAGGTGAAACCCAAGTTTTGCTGTGGTCTTGCATTAGCAACTTTGACTGACAAATTCCCCCTGCTGAGCTAATTCACCCTCCATCTTCATGTTTCTGTCTGCCCGGCCTCGCACTGAGGACCAGGAGGGTGACATCAAGAGGGAGGGTCATTTACACTTGGCTGCCTGTAAATATTTGGCTTTAAGTTTCATCCAAAATTCAGGAGAGATGGTGAGATTAAAAGAGTGCATTTAAAAGGGAAGGGCTAGGAGTTTTTGCTTTTTATTAAGTCTTCATTTCTCTACTCTTTGTTTGGTTTTTCCAAGCTTGCAGTAGGCTTTTATAAGCATTCTTGAAAATTGTGGCTCATGGAAGGGAGGGACTTTTGTCAGATGGGGTCTGGTGATGGAATTTTCCACATCAGGCAACAAAGGATACTGGTTGGAACCCTGCTGCACAGAGCAGTATTTTCTTGTGTTTGCAGTTCTTACACATTTTGTGTATGAGTAGAAGAATATTACTTGAAGACTGGCCAGGAATAGATCTGGAATAGACTGCCTTTGGGAGGCAGTGCTTCCTGTTGATTAATTTAACATCCCACCTTGCTGATCCAAATGTACTTGTTGTGTATGAGAGGATGGGTGAGTAAAGATGGCAAAATAAGCTTTTTTGCCAACAATTGAATTTGCAGTGCAAGATGCATCTGGGGCTGTTATTCCATATCCATGCACAGAGAGGCAGAAATGCCTGTGGCTCAAGACATCAGCCTTGTTCCTGTCCTCTCCCAACAGGACAGGGCTGGAATGTGCTGATGGGATGCTGTGGGTGCTGAGGGAGCCTGATGTCCTCAGTGCTTGGAGTGGCACTGCAGAAATGGGGATGGTTTCCCTACCTGGGGTGGTTGGGGTATTTCTTCTTGTCCCAAATTGAGTCTCATCTCTTTGTATCAGACTGACAGAGCAGTGCTGTTGTTCCTGAGCGCTGAGCACAGCTTTGTCCCTGTGTCCTGATGGGACAAGGTGCCCTCTCCTCTTGTCCCGTGCCTGATTCCTCACTCTGGCTGTCACCTCCCTGAGGGAGGGAGGAGGGACCACACTCGGGCTCCTTGCCATGAGACCCAAGTCTACCAGAAGAAGGGTAGTGCAGTTGGCAGAGGACAGTTTCTATCGACCTGGCATGACACTTGTCATCGGTCAGATGTTGACTTTTACGCTCAGGCAGATGTTGAGGCCAGCAGATAAATATGCTGCCTGAGAAGTTATCTAAATAAATTTTCCAGATCAAGGCACCGTGCAGAAGAGCCAAGAATAATTAATCTCAGAGTGCCTGGGAGAAGCAGCTGTTCTCCCAGCGCAGGGGGAGAAGCAGGGGAGGTGAGGAGGGTCCCAGGTAAACTGGTGCAAGTGGTACAGCTCCTGGGGGAGAATGCTGTGCTGGAGGGACCTTTGAGGCAGGAAAGCTTTTCTACCTGACCCAGCTGGGTTAAGGGCAAGATATCCTCATCCCAGAGGAGAAAGAAATATTTCAAAGGGGCTTTTAGCTTTTTGGACCAATCATTGATGGCTTGGGTGTTTTTTAAATGGAAATAGTGAGTTGTCAGTCTGTGTACACTCAAGCTTCACTTCTGCTCCTGCCACCTCCTCTTTGCTCACTGCTTTTCCCATCACTCTCTCCTGGACTGTTGCCTCCTGCTTTTCCTTGGGAGTGTTTTTCCTGCCTACTGCTTCTCTTTTCTCCCTGTGCTGATTCACAAGGCCAAACCTGTCAGCCTTGAAGAGTATCTGAGCTCAGGCTCTGTGTTGTGCCTCTCTTGGCAGCTCCCCCGTGACGAGCATCCTGCTGCAGCTGGGCACCGTGGCCTCAGGATCGCCCATGGGTGTTTGAAAGGAGTGATTCCTTCCTTGGCATCCAGCCCAAGCCCACCTCAGTTAGCAGAAGTGGGAAGCACCTGCATTTCCTTTAGTCCCAATGGGAGCTGTAGGCGTTCAGGCCCTTTTGAGAACAAGCAACTTTTTAAATGTGTGCAGAAGTGTTGGATTTGATTTGTCTTTTAAGTGCTGGCATTTGAGATTTCTGCTCTTGCTGCTGTGTGTTTGTCAGTAGAAATAAGTGTAGATGGAACTTGGATGGGACCAGTTTCCCACTGAGCCTGGGGGTGTCTGGTGTTGTGGATCCCAGCTCTCTGTGTCACTCACTGAAGGCTTGTTAATTCTGAGAACCAGTCTGGAGCAAAGTCCTACACTAATATTTGTCCTCTTCCCTTTAAAGATTCAACACCTAGTGTCATGTTAGTAGATTCCTGGCAGAATCTAATAAAATATCTGTTGCTTCTGATAGATATTTGAAATGCCGATGTTCCAAATAAGTTCTGATTCAAAGTGCTCTCACCCTGCAGGTGGAAGTTTTATTTCATAAATTCATTAGTTGTCAGATCATTATCAAAATCATTACTTTTTTACAATTTTTCCCATATTTATTTAACACTTGCTCTAGATTTGCACTTCTGATCCATTGGGGGTGTTGTCTGTATTTTAAGTTCATACTACAATGCAGTTCCCATCCCAGCTCTGAGGGAAAATATAGGACCAATTTTAATGGCAATGTACAATTGTACTGACATGTCCCAAAGCCTGGGGAAACCTGTCCATTAAAAAATAATGGAGTAGGAAGTCCTGGCATAAAGTAAAGCCTTGAGTGAAATTCCACAGCTTCATGGACTGTTAATTCTTTATTAGGTTTTCCTAAGACTGAGATAAAAGGCATTTTATCTTTTTTAAGGTTTGCATTAACATGTCATTGAGTTTTATAGATACATTGATCTTCATTTGGCTAATCGAGAAAGGGTAATAGAAATGTGTGTTAAATGCCAGAACAAAGATAACTCTGTAACACTTCAAATTTTTGTGTTATTTTTATTTATTAAGTTTTCTTCAGATACAAAACTGTGGTCAGTGTCAAGTTGTGAAACTCCTCTCACTATATATTTTTATTGGCTGTCCTGTCTAATTTTCTTTTTTTTCCCTCTTTTTTAATCTGCCTTTGCTTTCAAGTTAATTTGGCAGTGAAGCTGATGTGTCTTCACTAAAAACTAACAGAGAGAATTGACAAGATTTTAAAAAATACTGTTGTGTCTGATGGATTCTTGCCTCTCTTGGCTATCAGAGTCTTTTTACACTGTGTTCCAATCTGAAATGGAGCAGTGAAGTGTGTCTTTGGATTCAGACACAAAAGCTGAATCTGACTGATGTCGATGTTTTTTTTTTGCTGCTGCTGCCCACAAACAAAGATTAAGGTCTGCAGTTTTCCAGAACAGTGTACCAGGCCTTGGACATGGAGCACCTGGGAAGATAAAGGCAATTCTTTATCTCCTTCCTCTAACAGTGAAATCTGGGCTTGGTGGAAGTTGGAGGAGCTTTGGAATCCAGTCAGAGGTTTCTCTCTGCTCTTGTTTGGGTCAGCAGCCCTCGGCTGGCTTGGAGGCTGCATCTTCTCCCAGGGGTTTAATTGTGCCTGTCTCCAGAGAAACAAATCCCTCACACCAGACTCACTGTGTGCATTTAATAAGGAAGTCTCTGTGGATACAACTTTATTAACAGCTGTCATTATTAATGAAGATTGGGCAGTGGTCGGTGTATTAGCTCTGTGATGAAGGCATGTGAGAGGGAAATAAAATGAGAAATTATTTTTATCTTCTCTCTGCTGAAACTGTACGTCCTCCACCAGTTCTGCATGTGCATCAGGGAGGGCTAGGGAGAAGAACTGGATTTTTGTGGTTCTCTGCAGCTGGAGAGAGCTCAGCCCTGGCTCGGGTGCTTGTTCCCAGCCTCGCCACATCTCAAGGAACCTAGGCAAACAGGGACTGGGTGAAGCACTGAATCAAATCCCCAGAGCAGCCCTGTGTGCCCATCACCTTCCCTGCTCTCAGGGGGGAAATCTTCCTCTCCTGAAAGGATTTCACTGCCAGGGAATGGGCACAGGTGGGAGGTTTCAGAGATGGTCCCCTTCGTGTCCAGGGTTTATTCCATCCTTCCCTTGCCAAGCACTCTTGCCAAGCCAAAGCATGAGAGCAGCTCAGATCTTACATCTCATCCTCAGCTCCCAGTCCTGCAGCCTCCAGCAAATGCTTATTTTAGCACCAGCTGGCTCTGATCCCTTTGAACTCTCCGATATGAGATTAAATGTTAATTTATTACATATCATTATAGGATTATATGTTATCTCTAGGATAATGGAATCCAAATGTTAGAATAGCATGTTTGAGATTTAGTGCTTGTACACATTTCCCTCCACTCAGGAAACAAGAATTGCTAAAGGCAGAAGACTGAACAAGAGGTGAATTAATCTGTCTGATCACAGCTAGCTGAGAGCTCAAGCTCTGGAAGAGTAAAAGCAGAGGTCCATAATCTTTTTGCAGAGTTCAGAAGCAGAGAAGTTGACTGAATTTCCTAAAAAATAAATAAGTATGAAGAAATTGTTATCTGCTTTGGCTGTTCCATGGGCAAAATCCCATGGATAAATTATGCAGTGTGAATTATGTGCTTGGCTCTAGATGTAAATGCCAGACAAAGCAGAGTGCTGAAGTGACCTGGATGCTGAATTTCTGCAGAATTTCATTCTCTAGGCTGTGGGTAGGTGAGCAGTACTGGATGTAATAAGATCTGACTTGAACTTGAATTGGCTCAAACTTGAACTGCACTTGTGATGTTTCCACACAGAGGTTTAGAGGTGATGCCATGCAGCAGAAGGTGAACACGGCTCTTTTGCTGTCCCTGTCACTGCCCATGATGGCATTTTCAAGTGGGCAGATGCTGATGCTGAGCTGTGATAAGCTGCCTTCTCAGCACACCCAAATGCTGTGCCCAGGCACGTTGGGCTGTGATAGTGATGTCCTGTGACTCTTATTCAATTTTATAATTCCCCTGTCATTGAGAAGAGAATTAGATCCAGCTTTTTGCCTTCTCAGGAAATCTCAAATCTGGTCTAATTTACTCCTCTTGACTCTTGGAGAGTTTGAAAATGCTGTCAGCTAATGCTCATTATCTTTTATTGCATTAATACATTGACATAAGTGAACCACACTAAGTATGACCTCATCCAGATTTGGGTTCTGCTCAAGAGTTTTTATTCTTTGCCTGTAAGTTAATAATTGTCTGTGAGCAAGGTAACTGTACTTGGTGCCTCACAGCATGAAAGTCACAATAAGGTTTCACTCTCTCCACACACAAATATTTTGACAAGATCTCCTTGAACTGCCTCCTCCAAAGCTATTGGGAATTTTCATTGTGTTTAGAAAATCAAACTCTAAATTGCAAATCTGCAAGAGAGAGAGAAACAAACACCCAAGAGCTGCTGGGTGAGGCTCCTGCTCCCCGAGAGGAGCCCTTCTCCACGTGTGAGTGACAGGCTGCAGCCTTTGATTGCTGTAGTAAGAGAAAAGTGGTGCTGGGGGAAGCTTATTTTGTCCTTTCTGACAGCATCTGCCGCAAATTTGTAAAATATGTCAAATGTGTATTCATAAAGTAAAATAATGCATTCAAGCATGAGAAATTCTGCTTTGTTCTGGTACCAGGATGTGCTTGAGCACGGCTGTTTCGAGAAGCAGGGGAGCAGGTCAGCAATCACACTTGGAATGCAAAGCTCT